GGTGACTGTAAATATACATTATACATCCTGTCATCCTTCTTTTGGCAATTTAGCATGCAGCAAACCACACAGGTTTTGTCCACTGACAGAACTTGCTGAAGCCTCCCTGCTGTTTGCTGTGCCAGCATCGCAGAGGGTGCAGACAGTACCGATGAGGTCTGGTCAGTGTCCCAAGCAATAAAGGAATCTGTCAGCACGAGGATGGGGAAACCAAACTGGGACTGAAAGCACAGCCTGCCTATGTATCTTCCTTATGTATCATCTTGGCTGATCTTACTTGTAAATACTGGGGGGGGGAGGGCAGCGGGAATGGGCCATATTTTTTTACTTTTAGATATTAAAGAAAATTATGTGGGCCAGTATTGTGAGGTGTCTAGGCTGTTTACCTCCACTGATGCAGTTCTCCCCTCCTGGTTTGTAAATAAGCACCATTAAATTCTCCCAACGCCAGGCTTAGACCTATATCCCTTTGTTGTTAAAACTGATATGCGGTTAGTTCATCATGCATTGTTACAGGTCCTCCAGGTTTTCAGCGGTAGCCCCGAAACAACGCTTCCTTTGTCAGATGTGTCTTCAGAATTGAATTTTAAAAATCTTACGTGTGACTGTACTAACTCTGCTTTGCTGTGGCCCTGCTCCAAGGAACGCCCCTGCACAGAGATGGGAGGGACATGCTCTCCTGCTCCAGCAGGGCTTGTGGGTGAATGGCACAGGAAGGCTGGCAAGCTGGTCTTCAAGCCTGGCTCCAGTTTCTTTTTCCTGAAATGATGCATTGATCAAACGCATCCACCAGCAGGCCGGGACAGGCTCAGCGTAAATGTGGCATTCATTGTATTCTTGCCTTTCCAAACATGCTTGGCTTTATGTGCTGGGTCGCAGCTTGGAAAGTCCATTCTTTCCCTCAGTCATGTGTGCTTCCCCTCTCCTGAATGTAAGATGCTGGGAAGGTGACAAGCACAGTAATGGGCGTGTTCTCTCTGCTCTCAAGTGCCAGTCCGTAAGAGAGAACAGTGCTCGATTGTTTTTACTTTAGGTCAGTTGTCTGGTTGTACCCCTGTTACAGCAAAGTCTGTCTCAACTGTAGGGCCCTGTATGTAATTCAGAGCATTTCTCCTTGATCAGCTGGTAGAACAGCTGCTTCTGTTTCACTTTGCCTTGCCTTTTTCCTTTTTACAGCCCTTGTCAGTGGAAATGGGCTGTGCTAAGAGCTGGGGCTGGGGAACAAGCATTTCTCCACTGCTGGTTCCTTTAAAGCAGCAGCACATGCTGAGCCACAGCGTTTGCCTGTGGCAGTTCGCAGGAGGACCGCCTGCGTGAGGCAGTTCTGATAAACTGGAATCGATGCTGCGGTTGAAGCTGCTCCTTAGGCTCTGTGGCTTGCCTCTGCTGATGCTACTGCACGATGAAAAGCTGTTTCTAGCAGCATGAGTCTGTGATGTGAGTTAGCTGTCCACCAGACTGCAGGAGGGAAGGGAGCAGCAGACTGAGGCTTTTGATCTTGCCAGACAGACCTGCTGTTGGAATCGCAGATGAGAGATTCATACTACTACACCAGCACCCCTCTTCCCAGCATGTGCTGTCCCACTGTCCCCTAGAAATGCCAGCGCGAAGGGAGGTGGTTATCTCCGTCCTCACAGTTGAAAGTTGGTGGCTTTCCACAGCCACCTTTTCGGCGCGGTATTGTTCTGTTTCAGGCTGCTTGGTGCTATTTTACCACTATTGGTGTTTTTGTAAGCAGCCGTATTTTGCGGTGGTTTGTAACACACAAGTATTTGGGGTTTGTAGTGCATTTTAACAGTTAAACCATAGTGTTCAGTAGCAAATCATCTTTCAGGTTTTTACCATGTCTGTTGCCTGAGGAAGTGAACAGATAGCCTCCAGCCATTTTTCTTGTTACTTTTCACAGGGAAGCATTTTGAAGTTTTTTTAATTATAAAAATGCTCTTTGCTAATGTGGTTTGAGCGCTTGTCTAAAGACCATTGTTCAGCTCTCTTCCACTCGCAGTGTTGTAAAGTATTGTGTGTTGTAACGTGAAACGTTTAAGAACAAGAGGACCAAATGACTGATCTGGAAGGATACATACACTAAGAACATCAGTGGCTTTCTGGAGTGAAGATAGATGTACAGATTTGTGCACAGCGCTAATGCTCATTCCAAATTAAAGCTGAATGCCTTCTCAGGGCTGATCGCCACCCACACAGGCAAAGACATCCTTCTTGGTTGATGTAGCACCGAGTGTTTTCCATCTGCTTTTAAAAGAGGGAAATGTGCCAAGTGTTATCAAGGAACTTGGAGTATCGTGTGTTTCTTTAAAACAGGAAAGGTTGAATAAAGCTTTTAGCCTCCAGCTTCTATGTGCTTCTCTGGAAGTATAAGGACTGTGATTCCTGTGCTCTTCAGGGCAGCCAGCTAACGAGAAATGCACCTTATTAAAAACAGCACTCCCATGTCTAATGGAGTGTCCAACCTTATGTAAAGCCAAGCAGGAAACAGCATTCCCTCCCCAAATTTGATATTTAAAAGCTGAATCCCCCATGCTCTTTGAGATGAAGTTAAAGACCTTTCTTTGAAACAAGAGAGAAGTAAGACTCAACAGCCCATCTCTAAATAAGCAGGGGTGTTGGCTGAGCACATCTGTGTGGGCTGTAGGAGACTTCAGGTGTTTCTCTTCTCCAAATTAGTCTTTGAGAGTTTTTGGTGTGGTTTGGTTGTTTTTGTTTTTTGAGGCTCCCTGGTCCTTGGTTAATGTCCCAACCCCTGCTCTGGAGGACACAGGAGCAACTGAGTGAACAAACCCAGAAGCAGCAGTGTATCTTTTCCAATGCCCCTTGACTGTAATTGCACTTTAAGAGACTTGCCTTGGCTTAGAGCCAGGGGCTAGGATCCTGGCAAGCCTTTCAGAAACTGATCACGAGCTGGTGTGGGGAGTGTGACTCCGAGGTGGTATCTGCCGGATGAGTGTAAATACGTGAAGTCAAATTATGCTTTGTCACAAAATACTACATATGTGGAGAATTCAATGTTGTGGCTGTTAACAATAAATATTTTGTAGAGAGATCACTGAGTGCTGTAAATTCTACGTTTGCTTGGTATGATATGGTACGTATGATATGACTTGCTGGTTTCTTGGAGGAGGATGGGAAAATCATCAATTTTTTTAAAAGCCTCTTTGGAAAGTCAGAAGCTCTGTAGTAGAAGTGTGATACTCTGGAGCTATCCCTACACAAACTGCCCATTTTAAGAGGCTTTTCTTGCCTAGGAATGCTTCGGGATAGGGAAACAGTCTTATCACAGCTATGTATTGAGGCATGGTGCCCTAGGGAGGGGTGTCCACGGAAGCCTGTGTTCTGGATGGAAGAGATGAGCCCTTAGCAGGAAGGTGGGAAAATAGTTTGTTGTGGTTTGGAGTAACAGGAGACTGGGATCATTACTGTCAATGTATATAGACTATTACAGCTGCTTTATGGGGAACGGCAGACAGCCGGGTAAAGCCCCATGTGCATTGTTTTCAGGTTAAATTCAAGAGGATGTGGGAAAGCGAAGCTGGAGAGAAACGGGTTTTGTTCTATCCCTTGTTTAAATGACGAGCAGATAGCTGAGCAGGCTGCCTCACTCCTGGGTCCAGGCCTCCCACTGCAGGAAACCATCTTTTGACACCCAGCCCTCGGGACAGTACCACTGAGGGAATACTTCTAGACACAAAGTGGGTTTTGGCAAAGACAAATACAAACAAAAACCCTGCAATTTTCTAAGGCTGTTTTTTTTCTACTTCAGGTCTGTGTAAAACCTTTGACAGGAATAAAACTGCAGTAAGATGCGTTTAAAAAAAAGTATTTTTATTTGGACTTTCATCCTTGTGGAACTTAAAAACACTGGGGTTTGTCTGCTTCGCTGGGGAATCCTGCAACTTGGGTAATGAATAATAAAAACACAAGTGGAGATGGGGGAAGATGGGAAGGTTGTCCACACCTGAATTTCCCTGGCTAATGAACGGGTTCAGAAGCAGATCCTCAGCGTTTAAGGCACAACTCGGTTTGGCACAGCTTCTGCGCTGCTGTTCTGTTCCAGTGATGGTAAGCACTTGTGATTCAGCACTACAGACAAATTTGAACAAACTGGTTTTATTTTACTTGGAGCTAAATCAGCTGATGTACTTAGACACTTGGGTTCTCATCAATGCTACAGCTACAAAACCAGCCTTGCTGTCAAATCACCTGGATTAATAGAAAAAGCATTAGCAAGTGCTGTGGACTAAGATTTGTTAGAAATGGGTACGTTGCATGACACGCTAAATACTTAAATTCTCTGAAGTAACAGTAAGGCACGGATCTTTGCACAGGAGGCTCCTGTATGGCAACGTGTAGTTTCATCTGTTAACGCTGTCTGTTTTGAGGTGGTGCTGCCTACACCCGTCAATTTTCCCAAGCGTCTGGGCTCCTGCTGCAGGGTTGGTGTTAAGCAGGTGTGGCTGTGCCTAGTGCTGGCTCAGCAGCAGCTCCCGTGTTCTCAGCACATCTCCTGCTACAGCAAATGGATCCGAGGGACACTTCAGCTTCTGCGTCCAGCTTTACACAGCTTTGTTCCAAGGGGGATTAAAGTCTGGCACTCGAGGCTGGTTGGATCTCAACTGATCCCCATTCTTCAATATGAAAAAGGGAGAGGGGTCACTAGAAATGTGGATTTGAGGCTCGCTGTACCGCAAAGATTTAGAAATAGCACCCTTCAGCTGGCATGGCCCCCTTTGCAGTTTCTCCTCGGCCCAACAAAGAGAAAGGAGTAAGGGGAATATTTGTTGCCCGCTGTTCCTCTCTTGCAGGCTCTTAAGGAGTTAATGTTCTTGTTGATCTTCTGCATAAGTGCTGGCTGTGCAGTGACAGGTTCTACTGCAGATGGTTTTCCTGGGAAGAGTGCATATGTGCACAGCAGAAATCCCTCAGTCTCGGGTTGTTGCTGAGCAGCACCACAGCAGGGGGACACAGAGATTCTGTGTGTCACACTGTCAGTCCTTATCCCTGTTGTGTAGAGGGATGACAAATGCTGAGATGTCATCGTAGGATGCCTCGTGGCTGTCATCCAGCAACCACTGGTGGCCTCTCTTCTCTCCTCTTGCTCTGCATACCAAGCATTTGGCCAGTTCTGAAAATCTGTGTGAGGAATAAATGCAAGGTTTGGGTGAATGTGGCACTGCTCCCTTAAGAACATTGAGATGTGGCTTTATGTTGTCAAGATAGTAGGTTTTTAAAGACACTAGCTTTACCATTGTTTCTTTAGGATGGGGAAAGATTAGGCAGCAGTTTCCAGAGTCCCAGCAGAGTGCTTGGTCACAGTGGAGCTGACCTAGAAGCAGAGCACTCCCCGCCTGCTTTTGGTCTGACCAGGTTCTCTGGAAGGGAAAACGATAGCAAAGCTGGTACTACCTGTGAGGATCTGTCCTGTTCTCTGCAAGGAAGTTCCTGACCATATGGGCCACCTCTTCGTTGCACAGTACATCCCAAAGGCCATCAGTTGCCATGATGAGGATATCGTCTTCCCTAATGTCACGCAGAGCAAAGTCAAACACATTCACCTGGAAAGCAGAGCAGTAAATCGGTGACAATCTCTGCAAGGTACCGGAGGGGTCGGGGAAATGACTCCTCCCCTGAGAGATGACAAAGTGGAACCAGGGTGCTTTGAATCTTTTACATCCCCTTGCTGCTATGCTTGTAGATTCCTCTGTCTTGAGGATTCTCTGGGCAGCATGCAGAGAGGTGGGGGATGGAGAAAGGACACAGCTGAGACCTGCCAGGTCTGTAAAAGGTGGGTGCTACAGGGGAGGAGCAGAACGTTTAATTTCATCCTGTAATTCCTGTGGCGTGACTGACCTTGGGGATGCAGGAGAGGAAAGGTTTGACTTCAATGTTGGTGTCGATGACTTTGAGCTGATGATCCCCCAGACCTCGAGAGACAGCCAGAGTCCCCAGCAAGCGAGCCTGGCCACAAAGAAAGCAAAACAGAATTAAAACACAAGAATGTGGCAGCTTTAAAGGCTGATGTGTGGCTTGTCCTGACCAATCTTCGTCTTGCCTTTAAGACCCTTCTCCAAGCACCACCCAGGGCAGCCCCTGGAGACCTCAGGGATGGAGGAGTGATCAGCAGCGAAGGCCTGACGCGAGCATGGGACAGCCAGCCCGCACGTGGGTGGCTCCTGGGGGCCCGTGGTGTGCTCTGGAGTAAGGACCTGTACTCTGGGTAATGCTACAGACCTCGGGGACCCCATGGTGGCATCTGCTCTTCATTTGGAGGGGGTGAGGAAGAATGCTGGGTTGGTTTGGGGGGTGGGGGAACGGGTCCTTCCTCCTGGCAAAGGAGGTTCTGCAGCAACTCCTTGCAAAGGGGGGGGCACGTGGGTTGTGTCACCGGGGGTGCTCCACCAGCAGGTACTCTGGAGGAGGGTGCAGCCTCTCTGCTCCCGAGGGCTCTGGTTTACACTGACCAGGCAGCACGGTGCTAGTGAAGGGAGCTGCTGTATCGGGCCTGTGGGCTCTGCAGCCCCAGGCTGCCGTAGTGCCCCAGGGCAGTGATCATGAGTGACAGGGATGCTGAGGACCCCCAGCAGATTGCATCTGCCTTCCCCATGTGTAAAGCATTCAGCTACCTGCTTCCCGTGACCATGGACAAGAGGATACTTGAGGTCAGCTTTCTCCACTGTCTTGTATCCCCTAGAACAGAGGATTCAGCATTGATTTGGGATTTTCTACCTTAAAGGTACAACACAGCCAGAACATCTCAACCATGACTCAGTCCTCGTGGTGCCCCCGTGCACAGGCAGCTGAGGCATGGGCAAAGTGACTTGCTGAAGCAGACACAGTGAATAAGACCCCCTGCTGAATGCCAAGGCATTTTCCCCTCTCCCCTTCCTCCCTAGCTTGTACCTGCACCAGTCTGGGGCTTCCTGTACCAGCCCCACCTTGCAGGATCCCAGAAGGACCATCTCACTGCTCCCTAACCACTCTGCCATGGCCCCAGCCCTTCAGCTGGGGCGGCTGCTCACAGCATCCTTCACTCCATCTGGCACAGCTCTGCAGCACTGAGCCCCCTGCTCTCACCAGGGGTACTCCCTCCACCTCCCCAGCGCTACGAGCAGGTGAAGCCGCCCTGTGCCGCACCCTTGTCCTCAGGCAGAAAGGACTCACCAGCCCTCCATGAAGTAATCCCGGTACAGGACTTTCTGGCCCACGTCATCTCCCTTCAACCTCCGTGGAAACTCAAAGCGTGTGAACTCGCCCTCCAGGAGCTTGGGGAAAAGAAAAGCCTGGAGGAGGGAACGAAGGCATGAGGATGAAGAGGTTCTGCTTCAGCAGAGCAGGGCATCCAAACTGCTTCTGCCTCGGGACTGGCACCCCAGCAGCAGAACGGAGAACAGACTTGGGAAAGCACATCCCAAGGAGGATGTGAGCGTCTCCCATATTGACGTGCGGAGGGAGCCACTCACCAAGTGCTGGAGTCGCTGCCTCTCTGTCTCAGGGGTGAACTCACAGCTCATGGGCACAACGTCATCTTTCAGAACAAGGATCGCCCTACGAGGGGAAGAGGCCAAGAGCTGAAGTGCGTCCTCCTGCATGTCTGTTGCTGCAGCCCTTCTCTTACGGAGGCCAGCCTAGGGTCAGCCAGGTAATCAGCAGTAACCCTTCTCTCATGCCAGAGGACAGCTTTGCACCCAGAACATTTAAAAGCAGCGGTGCCTTTTAAATAACTCCATTGCCATTGCACGGTTGCAGCAGAGGACGAAGCCTGCCTGGTTTGACGATGCTGGAGCTCACTGCTGGAGGAGTGGTGGGCCAAGGCTGGAGGAGGAAGCTCTTTAAGGTGCTTTGCAATGAGCTTCCACTTTTAAACACCTGCCCGGCTGAGCTTACTGCTGCACCACTACCCCAACGCTGCCCTGTGGCTGGGCAGAGTCAGACCACTGAAATCCCAAAACCCTTCCAGGAGGCATGGGAGCATCCATCCATCCCACAGCTCCTGTGGCAGGCAGGAGGGGAATGGCTGGGCTGCACATCTACCTTCTGTAGGATTAAGTAGGCAGCTGGAAACCCTGCCTATCTCCCAGCTCTTGTCCCCCAGCAACTTCCCCCTTTTCTTGTGGCTCACCTGCTGTCCCCAGCGTTGGCGACATACAGCTTTCCCTGGAAATAAAGGGCAGCCAGTGCAGTGCAGCCTCCTGTCTGGTTCGTAGCTTCCATCTCCTGGCCGATGACTTCATCCTGTTGGTTTAAATAAGTTTGGTGAGTGAGCTGAACAAGGCTGCTGCTTTCTGCAGCTGCCTCATGCCTCCCAGCAGAAATCCGGAGCCAAAACTGATTGCAGACGGGCCAGGGGATACCAGCAAGGTGAAAGACAATGTTCCTTCAGTACAGCCAACAAAGCTGCTACTACTGGACTAAGGACCACTTTAGGAGCGTGAGGGGGAGATCTCACACTTGTACACACTGTCCAAGTCTGACAGTAGCCACCGTCCAGCCCCACAGAAACATATCCCCTGGGCGCCCTTCAGCAGAGATGCTGCAGCTTAGCTCTGGGTCAGCACCGCCAACATGCAACAGATCTGCAGCAGATCCTGGGGAGCTGACCCAGCACGATCTCAGCACGCTTTAAGGTTTGGCCAAATGTCCCTGCCTGCTCCATGAGGTGCAGGTGCAGGACTGCAGACCCTGCCCAGCCCAGGCAGCGGGGAGGGACAGACCAACTGCTGGGGGCAGCAGGACCGGTGCCGTGCCGGGGTACTCACACATTCCTGGAAGGCGTTCTCCAGGGCTCCCACCACCAGGTCTTCTGCACAGATGTGCTTCTCCTCCACGAACTGGGGGTCACTGTCACAAACGCAGCGTCCGCTCAGATGCATGGGGGGACGGGCTTCTGCGATGCCTCCCACGACCTCCTCCAGCTTCTGCTTGATGCAGCAGTGCAAATAGTTGGAGGCGATGATTGCAGCTTCTGGGCCACCGTGGCCATCAAACAGCGCCCAGTAAGAACCAGTCAGATACTGCAGCGAGGAAGAGGGACAAGACAGCAAAGAAGAGGGAGAAGATGGGCTGGAGAGGTCACGCAGATGGCAGGCTCGCAGCCAGGACATCACTGTGTTTTGCCTGGCTTTTCCACCCCGGCTCCCCTTCCCCACCACCAGTTCATCCCCTGCACAACTCCAACCCGTGATGCCCACACGCTGCTCTGCCAGACCCGCCATCGAGCAGCTGGATTCACAGCCACCGTCCTCACACACCGTTTCTTGGTGTTTCAGGGCATATGGGGCCACTCCATGTTACAAGACACAAGGCAGAGCGGCTCCCAGGTGAGAGCACCCCGTGTGCCTGGTGCACGTGGCTGTCCCCCAGCGATGACAGCGCACACCCGTCCTCGAAAGCAGAGCGAGGACAGCAGAGGAAAGGTGAGGGCACCGAGTAAAGGGCTTGGACAACCTCAGATGCTGCAAGACACAGGACAAGGAAATAGAAATGGGATGTATGTGCAGAGCTGGGCATTTGCTGGCCAACCACAGGGTGCATGGGTCCCCTGAAGGCATCCAAGGCTGGGGATCAGTGTGTGGGCATGTGGGACTGACGGGACAACCTCATGTTTCCTGTACCGGGCCAGCAGCGGGGTGACCACGGCCTGCCCGTGGGCTATACCTGCGTGGAGCACAGGATCAGCCACTCCTCGTCCTCCTCCAGACCTGGCTCTCTCCTCCGGATGGAGATCTGACAGCAGGCTGCCTGGTCCTCATTGAACTCTGACTTCTCGGCATTGATAACCCTGGGGGTGCAAACGCTCCGGGTCAGGGGTGCAGACACACTGCCCCTCGCCTGCTCCCGCAGCCACTGTGAACTTCACCCTGTCCTTGCAGCCCCTCGCTCCCCGCTCCCTTTCCAGCCTCGAGGAGCTCTCTGCTGGGGCCCTAAATAACAAGTTATTTACGTGCAGTGGGAAAAAGCTTGGCCAGGGACACAGGGACAAATAGTGCTGGAGCACCCGGGCCTCAGGCAGCCCCGGTCAGCAGCCCACACTGTGCTATTTCTGTGGCAACACAGTGAATTGCAAAACCACCGGTACTGTGTTTCCTTCCAGCCCGGCTCAGGTTTGCCCCGGGGTGGGAGTGTGCTCTCCTTGCACAGCTCAGAGATTTCTGAAGGTCTCGTCTCCTTTGATTTAAGGCACTTTGCTAGGAGTGAGGGGATGGACGCCTGGTGCCGCTAGCCCCCCAAAACACCCCCCACCCCA